TATATATATATATATATATATATATATATATATATAAAGATAATGATTAAATATTATTTATATATTTAAAATTCGTCTCCATGTACACGAATGAACTATTTCGTCTATTTATCATTACTTATATTATTATCCTAATAACTCTTTTTCTTTCTTTCTTATATCTTATATTTTTTTTACATTGATGAATAATAATATTAAATATCTACTTCATATTTAGTTTATCAGCTCATATTCTTACCAACAGCTGCATTAATATTTAACAAATTTTCAGATTATCTTCGTGAAATTTATCGCTATAAACTTCGCTGTTTATGATTAAATTCGCCTTTGTAATTTATATTTGTGAATCATTACTATCGTCGGATTATTAATTATATTTAAAAATTTAGGTGTTTTATCTAAATAGATTGCTTTTCACGTATTTTATATAAATTGTATTATTAATGTTAATACTTTTTATCGTTCAATTATCTTATTATTACATTAATGTTATAATTGAATTTTACAAATACAATATAAAGGGTTTTGACATTTTTTTTTTATAAATACATTAATTTATGAATTTAATACCGATCAATGTTTACAGTGAATAAATTCAATAATTATAGTTGATAAAACAGGTGAAACGAGAATTGAATTAACAAACAATATTTATAAAAAATCTTTAATATTTTGGGATTTTTCATCAGTTACGTACATATTTTTGTATTTATACAATTATTATCTTAAAATATTATCGACTTTAATTATAAAAGAGAGAGAGAAAGAGAGTGAGAAAATAATAATATAATTATAAATAAGAAAGCTATAATTGTATAATAAGAAAACTACAAACGAATTCGCTTTAATTCCTAATTGATGTCGTTGAATATTTACTTTTCTTTTACTCGTTTTTCTATAAATGTAATGATATTTTACTTTATAATTTCATGTTAAAACATTCCCTTAAATTATTATAGCATCGGACGGATTTTTAATTTCTTAACAGTACAATAATACCAGATAATACTATGAAATTAATCTGAGCAAGATATGACGTTTATTCATACATTTTACATGGTTTACACAAATGAAAATGCATAAAATGAAAGGATATTTGTTTAATGAAAATTTAACGTCCTAAGTGCTTATTATTCCGATTTTCAATAAAAGTATATGATTTATTATTTGCTGGTGCAGGTGCGGTAGTCGCCAGTAGACTAAGCGAGATAGAAAATTGGAACGTTCTCCTATTAGAGGCTGGAGGAGACGAAACTGAAATTTCTGATGTGCCGCTTCTCGCGGGATATTTACAATTGAGTAAACTGGATTGGATGTATAAAACCGAACCTCAAGGTGATTCCTGTCTGGGTAAGTGATTTCAGAATAAATTACATATTATTACATTTAAACCTATATTTTTTTTATAGCCAATTCTTATAATCGAAGTGCGCTGTTTTTTTCTTCGCATTTATCACTGTGTTCGAACCTCTTTCCAAATTAACCTCTCTAACGTAATTTAAATTTCCATATTTTTGCCTATCAAACATATTTAATGGCAATGGTCACAAATGGAAATATTACATTATTTGTCGTTTATACAAAATTTTGTTCAAATAAAAATTAAACATTAAAAAATGTCTATAAGCGGAATTCAGACGTACTCAAATATTTGAATCTGCTTAATACTTTATTAAGTCAGTCGTAAGAGTTCCGTACGGATTTATCCTTCGACATCGCTCGCTTCTTAATGTCAATGAAAAAAAGAAAAAGAGAAAAAAGGGGGCGGGAAGAGGGGCGGATTCAAGCTTTTTTTTTTTTTTTTTTTTTTTTATTTTGATTTTTTTATTAGGCTTTTTAATTTATTATTTATAAGTGAAATAAATTTACCGCGAATAGGTTGAATGTAGCGAAGGGTTACGAGCAATTTTCAGCTTTGGTCGTTAATTTTGGGCGAGCAAACATGCGCACAGCATTCCATCATAAAGACATTAGAATCATCGGGGATATTTATCGCGTCGATAATAATCCGGCGAAGTACCGTTCCAAGTACCGCCAAAGAATGCCATTGGCTGAGAATGTGATCAAAGCGTCGTGCCGTGATAATATAACGAGGCAATGAAAATTTTCCGGTCCAGCCATGGAGAACGGCAGGTGCAACTGGCCACGGGGCAAAGTCCTCGGCGGCTCGAGCGTCCTCAACTACATGCTTTACCTGCGCGGTAATAAGCGCGACTACGACGCCTGGGAGGAGGAGGGCAACTACGGCTGGGGATCGGAGGAGGTGCTCCGGTACTTCAAAAAGTCCGAGGACAATCATAATCCCTATCTCACGCGGACGCCCTACCACTCGAAGGGCGGCTACCTCACGGTCCAGGAGGCGCCCTGGCAGACGCCCTTGGCCACGGCCTTCGTCAAGGCCGGGCATCAGATGGGCTACGAGAACCGCGACATAAACGGCGAGTACCAAAGCGGCTTCATGATTGCCCAAGGCACCATCCGACGTGGCAGTCGTTGCTCCACCTCCAAGGCCTTCCTCAGGCCGGCTAGACTTCGGAAGAACCTTCACATTGCTATGAACTCGCATGTGACGAAGGTACGTCAGAGCCGGCGTCTCGTGATTTCATTGTCAATAGGACTTTGAGGTCCAACGGATTAGACGACACGGCTCGTTTATTATTATCCGCTTACATTTCCGCATTCAATTCGCATTTGGTCGTTTGTTCAGTCGATTATTACGGCTGCGGTGATGCTTTTGCGAGAGCTAAGAGTGGGAAGCGACGAGGAAGTGACGAGCGACTCGGTTCAATTAGTGCGAAAAATCGTAAGATTTTCGTCTGATTTTGATTCGCGAATTAGGAGAAACGTTCGTCCTTTAACGTTGAATATAGAATCGATCGAGTGATTAAAGTAATTAAAGCGATACTATTAGAGTACGAATAAGAGCTATTGATAAAGAGTATAAGGGATTTATATTTAATGGTGATGATAGTTACTGGAAAATTCTCTAATTACATTATTCGACGATTTTACTAGACGATTATTGCTCATAAAAATTTAAATCATATATTACTCAAACACTATAAGATAAATATGATCGAAGCTTGCATATCATGTGTTCTATAGAATTATTTTATTGAAATTAATTTATTGAAATATATTAATATATTTCAATTAAGCACCTGTTAATGTGAATTAAACGATCATTAAGTAGCAATAAATTTAATTATCTTTAATATTATTACTCGCTTGTTTTCAATGAATGATAGATTTTTTTTTTTTTTTTTTTTTTTTTTTTTTTTTTTTTTACCGATTAATCTATTTGGCTATCCAAACAATTTTTTTCGCTCATTTTTCCTCGTCGAAACTCACATTAACATATAAGCTTTTTGAAGCTCACCTATGAGTTTTTCCCCTTTAAAGTCCTTTTAAGTAGTGAAAATGTTTATTTAATCAACTAATTCAGCACCCTCATATTTTAGATATTGATCGATCCAGCAAGTAAACGTGCTTACGGAGTTGAATTTATGCGCGACGAAGTAGTCTACCGCATTCGAGCTAAGAAAGAAATTATTTTATCCGCTGGAGCCATCAATTCGCCTCAAATTTTAATGCTTTCGGGCGTTGGACGAAAGGAAGATCTTAACAAATTGGGTACGTCATTTGCATAAATGCTTGCGAAAACTTGAATTATACAAGAGCAACGATTGAAATTTGATATAAAATTGACGTTTTCTTAACACGTAACTATATTCATCATCATCATCATTATCTTCTTTAACTTATTATTATTATTATTATTATTATTATTATAGTTATTTATTCTATTATTATTGCCATTGTTGTTGTTGTTGTTGTTGTTGTTATTGACTTTATCAACGTTAATTAAGTTTTCAATGTAATATAAATAATTGTACAAAAATTGTAATTACTCTATTATTATCAACACAAATTTGAGAGAATTATTATTTAAAATGACCATTAGACACATTAGATGCTGTATCTGTATTTTTTTTTTTTTTTTTTTTTTTTTTTTTTTTTTAATTTTGAACACATTGAAATGAACACATTGGATTACATAACTTACAGCGCGACAATTAATCGTCGATTAATGAATTTTGAACGATTAGGAATCCCGGTAATCCAGAATTTGTACGTCGGTGAGAATCTGCAGGACCACGTAGGCGTGGGCGGTCTAACTTTCATGGTAAATCAACAAGTATCGATGGTCGAGAACCGGCTGCACAACATTAACGCGGTACTGCAATACGCGGTTTTCGGCACCGGACCTCTTACCGTCCTCGGTGGCGTCGAGGGTCTGGCTTTCGTCAACACCAAGTTTGCCAACGCCAGCCAGGACTTCCCCGACATCGAGCTCCACTTCATATCGGGCTCCACGAACTCGGACGGCGGTCGCCAGATCCGTAAGATCCACGGCCTCACCAAGCGATTTTACGACAGTGTCTTCGGCCACATCAATAACAAGGACGTCTGGAGCGTACTTCCGATGCTCCTCAGACCGAAAAGCAAGGGCTACATTAAGCTTCGTAGCAAAAATCCTTTCGACCATCCCCTCATCTACCCCAATTACTTCAAGGATCCGCGCGACATGGCGACCCTCGTCGAGGGCGTGAAGATCGCCATCGCCCTTAGCCGAACGGCCGCGTTTAGGAAGTACGGCAGTGAGATGAATTCCAAACCCTTCCCTGGCTGCACGCACCTACCGCTCTACACTGACCCCTACTGGGAGTGCATGATCAGGCACTACTCGGCCACGGTTTATCATCCCGTTGGCACCTGTAAAATGGGGCCGTATTGGGATCCCGAGGCCGTTGTCGATCCAATGTTGAAAGTTTATGGATTATCGGGCCTACGAGTCATAGACGCATCCATCATACCCAGTCACGTAAGCGGTAACACCAACGCCCCCGTTATAATGATCGGGGAGAAGGGCGCCGACATGATCAAGGAATTCTGGCTGAAGAAGAGAAGTGTCGGATAATGGTATTTGCGATCGGGCATTTCTCGGATTGGGAATGAGAGATTCGTCGTTATCCGTATGCGTGAAGATTGAATCAACTCACACTTTACGTCACGTGAAATTGTCGTTCGCGTGTATATATATGTACACACACACACACACACGCACGCACGTACGCACGCACACACACACACACACACACACACACACACACAAAAAAGCGTGCGCGCTTACATTCGATAATGTACGTATAGTGTCAAAATTTTCAAAAATTATGAAATTACGATTTGTTATCATAATAATTAATCTATTGGCGTCGTAAACGCGACACTCTATTGAAGTGCATATTATTCCTTTCGTAAGCAAGCACCATTTACGAAAAATACCACCCAGTGAAATGCACTCATTAAGCATAAATGTAATCAGTAACTTATCATAATATATGTAAGAAAAATTTACCAGTATTTTCAAGTTTGGAAACTATCTTTAATTATTTTAAAGTAAATTTCCATTGATGTGAATGTAAGTTTCTACGTGATTTTCTTTATGAATCACTTCCATGGCGAGAGTAGGAACGGGCCGTACTATTGACAAATGAAATTTTATGTACAATTATTTAAATATTACAAACGTAATTTAATGTCATGTAATTTCGTAAAAATATTGTAACGCTTATGCTATTTGTATTTTCCATTTATATTTAACCCTTAAAGAGAGACAGACAGACAGAGAGGGAGAGAGGGAGAGAGTGAGAGAGAGAGAGGGGGGGGGGGGGGGGGAGTTTTGCAATTATGATTGAGAAAAAAAAAATGAAAGAAAAAAGAGAAAATTCAAACGAAACCAGTATTTTACCATATTTTTGTTTTTTTGATGTAACGATTGGAATTAGTAAAGATAACAAATACATTTTAAAAAATAGATTAATTATTGTTAATGTAGACATAAACGATAGTGATAAATGCCTCGATACTTTAAAACTTAACTATACAATAAGAAATAATCATTTAACTAGATATAAAGTCTTACTTATAAAATATAATTTTCGATAGTAAATAAGATTTTTGTATTAATTAATATTGTCAAATATGATTAAACAATACGAATTTACTTATACCTGTATAAGTTAGATTGATTGCAAGTTTTTTTCTTAAAATTATGGCCAATGATCGGCCATGGATTAGTTAAAATTTTGTGTAAAGTATCAAGAAATAATATAATTTTTTTTTTTTTTTTTTTTTTTTACCAAAATACTGTTCCATAAATTTTTTAAATTTAATTTAATTTTGCAGTGTTTATAAGATCATAGTAACTACATTGGCCTCTAAAATATCGGCGTAGTATTTAATAGCAAAACTTTTGATCAACACTCGATAATTGTGCATAAAAAATATCTAATTATGATTATTATATGGCAAATGCATTAAATCATACGTTTTATTGTATTATTTAGGATTTAAATTATTTATGGATCGTTATTTGTAAGCTTTGTTCAGCGGATTCTCAGAAATTGACAATTAAAATAAAGGGGAGAGTCATTAATAGTTAAATTATTATGAATATGAAAAATTATATTAACGTTGTAATTATTACAAATTATTTTTAATAATTTTATTATTTAAAATATCAATATTTTAATATAATAGAAAATGTACAATGATTTCTTTTGATAATCAACCATACTATTTCTAATTAAAGTACCTCGATTTAGAGTCTAAAATACATATCACTAAGTTTTTTTTAAAGAATCGCAGTCGTCATACAAAGCCATGTAGTTACATAATTTGGATAATATTATTATATTGAATATTGTAAATAACGATTTTCTTGCTGATAGTGTGAATATGTATTTATAAGCATGTACTTAATCCTAACAAGTTAGAATTTTTGTTTCGCGTTTTTCTCATATTGTAGATAAGAGGTAAAAAAATCTTCTCGAATATTATCCGAGACTCGAAGGAATTTAAAGTAAGCGAAAGCCTTAATCAATTTGAATGAAATTAATGAATAAAGTTTCTTTAAAATTTTTAATTTATAAAAATACATTTGCTACTCAAATTTTGTATCGCTTTTAAAATAATCATTTAATATTAAAGATTAATGTCAACAAATATCATATAAGTTTGCAATTTTTTTGGGAAATTATATATACTGTATATTGTACATTCAAATACTTTTTTTGGGAGAACTGTTGCCATGGCAGCCATGTGATAGAAAATAATATAAAAACGTAACAGCGTGTAATATATTTTTACTTTGTTCTTAGAAAAAGTAAGGTGAGAGTAAATTGTAAATTTGCTAAAAAAGTAAAAGTTAAATCGTAAATTAATACGCGTAGATGGATAATAGATTTGGGCCAAATCAGCGATCTATTTGAGAAATAAAATTATATATTTGCTTAGAACTAGTAAGCACTTTGTAGGCATTAATACAAAGTAATTGACGTTAAGAATTATTGTACCAGGGAAAACTCGTGAAAATAATATTGTACACTTTGCGATTGAAGATTTGAAACAATTATTTTTCATTTGTAAATAAGTACAGTCGAGGTTTATTATTCAACAAATTATTGGGTCTCAATGCCTAATCTCGATGTATACAAAATTTTGTATATTTTCATAAATTACAGAGAATCTAATAATATTCAGCATTTGAAATAATAGTAAAGAAATTAATATAAAATATCAATCTTGATTAAGGAGAATACAATGTAGCTATCGTAGAATATTGTTATGGAAGAATTCATTTGTAAATAAAATTTATTTGTTAATCAATAAAAATTTTGTATTATTTATAAAAGAAACCGTGATATATTATATTTCCTGTTTTCGTGCTTGATAATAATTTTTAAATATCCAAATGCTTACAAGATGTAATTTGATGTGCGTATAAATATCGACTCTTACGCCACACTTTTACCTTTATTAGTTTTCTTTAATGCATTCGTTCAAACGTGGAACTTATACGTTTGTTTGAACTTTTGGCTCATATTAATCGTAGATATTAACCAATAAATAAATAAATAATATTAGTTGACTATTATTTTTTGTCAATTAAACGGTCAGTTTCTATCGATTAAAAATTTGAAATTATACCGTTAAAATCTCAGAAAAAAGAAATTAAATTAAAAAATACTCTTGGATTTATTTTCATTTAGTTTTTTTTTTTTTAATTTTTTTTTCTTCTTATAATTAAAAAGCCTTCTTGGACTTTTGGCATTTTTTTTAAAGTGTTCATCCAGACCAGTAATTCTGCCCCATTTTAAGAAACGCGGTCTTTGAACTCGCATATGCGTTACTTCCTTATTATGTTGTGAAAATAAAACGTACATGAAAACGCAGAAAATAATTGACTTCGCAACAACACGAACACGTGCCTCGGATGCGTCGGACACGTCAACGCCGAATCAGTAATTATTCGGAAGTGCAATGGAGTTCCTCGCGATGTTGGATTTTTAAAGAACTACGTATTTAAGGACATAAGCATAAAATACATAAATAAATAAAAAAATTTATCGAAATTTTGCCCGACGCTGAAATAGCGATAAATAGAGTCGAATAACAGTGAATAGGCAGTCGTAATTATATAGAGCGCGCGAACCATTATTTCAAATTTTCAAATCAGTGCTTTACACTGCTTAGAAAAGTTAGACTGTTAAACGAACGTTGTGCTGTTTGTTTAATAAAAATTTGATTTTACGTTTATACGACGACAGTGTCTACTATTATTCTGTAACTTTAAAACTTCAGTGCTATGTTTATTTAACTTTTCTACAGACTGCGCACGCATCCAAGCATGCAAGCACGTACGCACGGTATGAAAAATGTTGCTCGTAATTGTTGTATTTTACATGGAATTTAATAAATTTCCTTACTGTTTGTGTAAATATTCGATTGCTTTGCAAACTTAAGACGTGCTCGGTTGTGCAATGTAATAGTGTAGGTAATCGATAAAATTCAAGCCAATTTTTGGCCGCGCGACACAGAGGAGCAATAAAAATACATTTAACGCGCAACAATATTGACGAAGCGAGCCGTCACGTATCAATATTTATAATTACATAATTGGACTTTCGACACACTGGGAAATATTTGCCGAGCCGGATGTTAAATTGGCATTTGTCGCTGACCGCTCGAGAGACCCACCACCAGTGCGTAATGACATCGAAAGGGCCGCTGGCCCTCGCCCTGGCCAGGTCAACTTCGCCGTGAAAAACGCAGTGGCCAAGTCCTCGGATGATCTCGAGGTGGACACTGGCGCACTGATTCGGGACTCCATCGGCGACTGGACGCTCGCGAACCATCGTGCGCCGAACCAATGACGCTCATCGGCTCCTACTCGGCGCTGCGTATCGCCCTCTCCTACGGCTCGGAGCTGAGCTTCTTCATCGTCCTGCGGCTCCTTATCATCCTGATGCGCCGGGACATCGTCGACCGGGAGCATCGGGTACGTCCGCGCGCGGGTCCCGAGCTCCTCGCGCGCTATGATTTCGTCGTCGTCGGTGGCGGCTCAGCCGGCTCCGTCGTCGCCTCGCGCCTCTCCGAGAACGCCAACTGGACGGTCCTCCTGCTGGAGGCTGGCGGCGACGAGACCATCCTCTCCGACGTGCCTATTATCTTCCCCACCCTCCAGCTCTCCTCGATGGACTGGCAGTTTAAGACGGAGCCCGCGCCCGGTTATTGCCTCGCGATGAAGGGCCGCCGATGCAACTGGCCCCGGGGTAAAGTCCTCGGTGGCTCGAGCGTCCTAAACGCGATGCTCTACGTGCGCGGCAACAAGCGCGATTACGACGCTTGGAGCGAGATGGGCAACCCCGGATGGGACTACGCGAGCCTGCTCCCCTACTTCACCAAGTCCGAGGACAATAGGATCGAGGAACTCGCCGACTCGCCATACCATGCCCGAGGCGGGCCCCTCAGCATCGAGAGATTCAGGTATCGTCCGCGCAATACTTATCCATACCATCCCAACCCCCCTCGTCCACGCTCCGACGATGAGGCGGAACGATCGAACGTATGACCTGGACAACGGTCTACTTTTCACACCCTATTCTCCCGTAACGAGCGATACAATCGCCGACGTCGACGTCGACGTAAGGAGTACACTCACTTACGGGGACTCGTTTCCTAG